TGCAAATCATTGCAAAGTGCCATTACTTTAGCAAGAGCTTACTCGGTTTCATAAATCTTTAAAACTCATTTGAAAGCTATTTTTCACAATGGGACTGGTAAGCCAGAAGCATTTTAGACCAGATTGCTCTTTTCACAACCCTTTACTGAAATGCCGCCATTTCCCAATTCAGCACCCACAAGATCAAGAACGAAAGAGAGAGAGAGTCGGGAATGAACATAAATAATGATTTCCCCTAATTTTCATTCTGCAGATTGTCACTGGATTACAATACTCCTCCTTATCGCCCCTAAATTATTTAAAGTAAGCTGAGCAATCGAAATTCTCCCACCACCTAAATTATTTAGGGCATAAATGTTTCCCGTCGAATGCTTTTGTGGTCATATTATGTGTCTTGCTCCTAAGTGAATAAAATTAGCTTTCATGCCATAATACAAAGCAAGGGTCGGAAATAATACATGAAGTTTCTGCTGTTATCTTTTTAACCATGAAGAAGACGAAGCCCTGTTCATCAACAATATCATTTCATTTCTCTTCCATAAAAGCCAGCGCCTATGAAAAATGGGTCAACCTTTAGTTATGGGGAAGAAAAAAATGAAGTGTTATTTTTATTTATTTTTTAAGAAGTGGGACATTCCAAGATCAAGTCAGAAGCTGGGACGGCTTTCGTAATTCTAGGACTATCCCTGGAAAACTGGGAGACTTGGAGGGTATGTTAGACTGGCAAGGTGCCATCTACATTGTAGCACCAGCCTGCCAGAGCATTGCCAGCTGACTCCAGAACCTCAGAACTTCTTCCTTACTTTGAGCAACTTGTTGCTAGTACAAGGACTCTAATGCTTCCCCCTTTTCCTTGCTTGCTGCCCTGAACTTTAACCTCTGCTTCCCTTTGACGGCATACTTCCTCCCGGTCTTCCTGGCCCTTCTGTTCTTGCACACGTACATACCGTATTTTTTGCTCCATAAGATGCACCTGACCATAAGACACACCTAGTTTTTAGAGGAGGAAAACAAGAAAAATATATATTCTGAACGAAACAGTGGATGTATGATTTTTGTGGTTCATGCTGTGGCCATAGACATGTGATCTGATGGTGAATTTGGGGTGATCCAATGCAAAAATCCTGAGGATCCATGTGGAGCCGTGCTTTGTAACCACATTTTTGCGCCATTGTGGCCCCACGCAACAGTGGGTAGGTATTTTTTGGGTGCAGGCTGTAGCCATGGACATGCAATGTGATCTGATGGTGAATTTGGGGTGACCCAATGCAAAAATCCTGAGGATCCATATGGATCCGTGTTTTCGCTCCATTGCAGCCCCACGCAAGTAAGTGCATACTGTGAAAGGACACATGAGTCTTAATAGAAAGAATGGCTCAGCTGCCTTTCCATCCTCCAGTTTTGGCAAAGGGACATGAGGGTAAAATTATTTCCAGGCCAGGAAAATTCTATTGGTGTGGTTACTCATTTGGTATCTGTCATCTGGTATCGCCTTGTCTCAAAATGAGCAGCAATAAAGATGCCATTCAGAGTAGCTGTTTATGGGAACCTGTGTATTTGCATTTGGCGCTGATCTCATCCCTTAGCATATATTGCGCTGTTTATCAATGTTAGCCATCTTCACTTGATCCTGGTTAGAGCTTTACTTTACTTTATTGGGTGTAAAGCTGTCCTACTGTTCCAAGGTTTCACACCAAGTTCTCAAGGCCATAGAAATGCAAGTTCTTGATATTAATTTGGTGTGTTGTTGGACCTGACAGGATCTCGCCTGTTATAGATCTTTTCAAATGACAAAGCTGCCAGACACCTCACATTTGATGGAAATCAATTTCTCGTGGTATTATTTCTCACCGGAAAAGAAAAGGTTTGTATATCCCCTGAAGCAATATAAAAGTAGCCTCCTTCCCTCTCTTGAAAAAATAAAAAATAAAACCAAACTGTTCTGTACATCAAGAGCCTCATTTAAGAATATTGAATTAAATGGAAGAAATTGCCTGCAACTCTAAAACTGTACCAAAAAATGGAATGCATTCTATCTCCCCTCACCTTATGTAACACTTAATAAAATCTTGCAAGAGCTTTCAAGCAAACAAACAAAGCAGGAAAATATCCCCAACAGCTACTGTAATTGCAGTCGTATTCACCCTGTTTGAGAATAGGCACTTATGGACTACAGTGGGACTTCCTTACGGGTAAACGCACATAGGATTTATATTGTAAATCTCTATAGCCATATGTGCTTGCTCTCAACATGGAAGGGGTTAGCAATCTTGTCCCAAACTTCAGAGAACTGCATTTTGGAACGATAACATAGCAAATATCTATAGTCTTTGTACCATCAGTTTGCCACTGGCAAAATCCTATGCTTAGCAAGTAGGGCCGGTACCCCTCCATGAGCCTTGTAAATTGCAGTGTTGGTCCTGGAAGTATAGGCAGGAACGGATGGGAGAATTAGGCTTCGTTCCAGAAATAGCAAAGGTCTCAGGGACCTGGAGTGACCCCAGAGTTGGAGGGCAGGAGCCAGCCAAGAAGAAAATGGGCAAGAAGGAAGGAAGGGGGGAACCAATGACATATCATGGGAATTGACAAGTACAGTGGTACCTCGGGTTACATATGCTTCAGGTTATATACGCTTCAGGTTACAGACTCCGCTAACCCAGAAATATTACCTCGGGTTAAGAACTTTGCTTCAGGATGGGAACAGAAATTGTGTTCCGGCGGTGCAGCGGCAACAGGAGGCCCCATTAGCTAAAGTGGTGCTTCAGGTTAAGAACAGTTTCAGGTTAAGAACGGACCTCCGGAACGAATTAAGTTCTTAACCCAAGGTACCACTGTACAGGCATGCAAGAGCTGGAAGCTGTACAGAAGAATTTATAGGTAGCCAGGGTCATTTAGGTGAATGAAGCTACAGTGGTACCTCGGGATGCGAACGGGATCTGTTCCGGAGCCCCTTTTGCATCCTGAGTAGAACGTAAGACGCAACTGCGCATCTGCGCGGGTCGCGTTTCACTGCTTCTGTGCATGTGTGTGATGTCATTTTGACTGCACAAGCAGCGAAACCCAGAAGTAACGCACTCTGTTACTTCCGGGTCGCTGCGGAGCACAACCCAAAAATACTTATCTTGAAGCGTATTTATCCCAAGGTATGACTGTATTGTGATGTTGGGTCCAAAAATCCCACATGGTCAGCAAAAAGAGGCAGTGTTGTAATAGTCAGCATATAACAACAACAGCCAGCATAGATGCAAGAGAGTCAAGTCCAATGTACCATAGAGTTTATCATCCACAATGGAGCAGAGAGACTCACTTCCATTAGGTCTACTCAACAGCTGAGTAACAGAGATGTTGAATGAAAGGAAGCTCTCCCGCTTCCAAAGGCAGCTATGGTTTATATTTTCTCCATTGTTTTATGTTTAACATAGTCTTAACTGGCCTTTTTCTTTACAAAGACAAAACACACGGTACCAGGAGTGGGAGGCACATTGCCAAAAAGAGAGTAAAATTAACACAGCCGCCCAAAAGGCAGCCTAGGCATTGGTGCAGTTCAGAACTCTGAATTGCCAGCTGTTAAACACAGAAGCAACAAGCATTCTGAATTGTGCATCAAAGCTACACATATTATTAAAGCAAAGGATGAACATAAACATGTTCAGCTTACAGTAGTAGAAACCATAGTAGCCTTAGACATTTTTTTGTGTACACACATACATACAAAACACAACACACACAAAAAACACACACACACAGCAGCCATGACAGTGTCTGGTAGATGTTTTGTACCTTCCTTAAGCCTACTGATATATTCCTGTGCATGGATTGTGCCATTTAAATCAGAACCAGTGAAGGCAGTGAAAACAGTGAATGATACCCCATGAACTAGCAATTCCTTGGACCAAATGAGAGAGGATTACTGATGAAAGGCCAGTCCATTCTGCATAGGTGGTTGGCTACACATTAACCTTTAGTTGTCGACACAGCTCAATGGCCCATAACAGGAAGCCTTAAACACTGCAGGCCAGAATACCTCAAGGAACACCCTTCTCCATTTGAACCTATCCTGACCCTGAGATCATCTTCCAAGGCCCTTCTTCGTGTGCAATCTGAACGAGAGGTCTGGAGGGTGGCAACACCAGAATGGGCCTTTTCTGTATTGGCTCCCCGTTTGTGGGATGCTATCCAAAAAGAGATTCGGCTGGTGCCTTCATTATATGCCTTTAGTCACCAGGCAAAAACATTCCCCTTTGACCAGGCCTTTGGCTGACTGACATCCAATGCCCTTTTCAAACATGTTAGAGAGGGGAGGGATTATTGGGTTGTTCTTGTTTTGTTTTTTATCATGTATTTTGTGTTTTTATATTGTGATTTTATGCTGTGAACCGCCCTGAGACCTGCGGGTATAGGGCGCTATACAAATTTCATAAATAAAAATAAAAAAGTAGACGTATGAGAACCCCCAGGGATTAGTCATACATCAAAAGGTGTGCTGCTCTCAGACATTCACCCCAATTCCTCTGAGGCTGAAACGCTGAAATGTAGCTCAAAACACCTTGAGAGCACTTGGCAGCAAATCTACAGTTCGCCGAATTCTCTTAGAATAGTCTTCTAACTTGATGGAAATATCATAGCAATGTGCTCAGCTATTATTTAATCAACACAAGGTGTTGTTGTTGTTTTTTTGTAGATGTACTATACAGTCGTACCTTGGAAGTAAAACAGGATCTGTTCTGAAAGTCCGTTCGACTTCCAAAGCATTCGACTTCCCAAGCGTGGCTTCTGATTGGCTGCAGGAAGCTCCTGCAGCCAATTGGAAGCTGCGGAAGCTCCGCCGAATGTTCAGTTTCCGAAAGAATGTTCGCAAACCGGAACAGTCACTTTTGATTGTTTGGGAGCCAAAACATTTGAGAACTAGGCATGTTCAAAAACCAAGGTACAACTATACCGGCTTTTTATATGTTGAGTTTCAGGTAACTGTGAGATCTCACCACATAAAGGACTCCAGCAACTTTTTATTTTATTTTATTTTTTACAAATGGACGTTTATTGACTGAATTAGACAAACATGGTGGTTTTCCTTAATATAAAATAGTATAACAAACTGCTGCGTTGACATAATAAAATGAGGTTGTTTTTTGTATCAAGGCGCCATCCTTAGCTGAGGCAACTCTTGCAGCGTTGCAATCCGTTCTCGTTGCAAGCGGTGCACTTGAGGGCTTTGAATGAGTCCGTAAAACAGTTCCGAAACACTGACATCTTGCTCCCATGGCACGCTGAGCACGGAATAAAACCAAAGCCCCCACATGAGAGGCATTCATGAGGGTGTTGAACTCTCTGAGGAGGGGGAGAGACAGAAAGTAAGATGGCATCCATTGTTTGCATTATATTCTGAGGGCCAAACTGGACAGGGAATTAACTGTGAGAATGAAAGTAACTTGCACATTTCTTCTTATGTAGATACAGTGGTACCTCCAGTTGCGTACGGGATCCATTCCAGAGCGCCGGTCGGATCCCGAGGTTTCCGCAACCGGAGGTGCCTGTTCTGCGCGCGCACACGGCACAATAAATTGCTTCTGCGCATGCGCAAGGTGTGATAGAGCGCTACTGCGCATGCGTGCGCGCCGAAACCCGGAAATATACTTCCAGGTTTGCAGTGTGCGTATCCCGAAGGATACTTAACAAGAGGGGCACTTAAGTACCACAGGGCCCTGGTCTCATGAGACAGAGCGTTCCACCAGGCCAGAGCCAGTGTTGAAAAGTCCCTGGCTCTGGTTGAGGCTAATCTAACTTCCTTAGGGCACGGGACCTCTAGGGTGTTGCTATTTATGGAACTTAAGGTCCTCCGTGGGGCATACCAGGAGAGGCCAAGTAACATTGTGATAATCTTGGTTGCCCTTTCCTGACTCTTCACCAGTTCTATGGTGTCATTTTGGAGCCGAGGTGACCAAAACTGTATATGGGATTCAAGGTGTGGCCACACTATATATTAGCAGAATGGTGTTATAATATTGACAGTTTTATTTTTTGATTTTTTTTTTTAATAATACTGATTTAATTTTTAATGATCCCTAGCATGGAATCCAACTTTTTCACAGCTGCCACAGACTGGGTCAACATCTTCACTAAGCTACCAGTTTGACCCAAAGGTCAGTCATTCCTGGTCTGTCACCACCAGTTCAGACCCAATGGGAACAAAGATGCACAATTTTATGACTTCGCCACATGACAGAGAAGAGGACGAAAAGAAGATATGGGGCGGCCATTTTGTTTGGGGTGATGTGTAGTTCTACCCTGAGCTGCCCTTTTCTCTATGTGAGGCACGTTTGAGTTTGTGTAATAGAGGCTGGGAGAGGTTGGGTGGCAGAGGCATGGGCATCAATTATATATACTCGCGGCAGAACCACATATTACCTTCCTATGGCCATGTTCCTAAATTTATTTTTCCAGAATTAATACAAGTGTAGGGCCAACAGATACTTGTAGTGAAGAATGGGCAAAAGGTTGGAGACATTCATATTGATGTTCCCTTACAAAGAAAATATAATTCATCTGTGAGCTTACCACAGAACACTATGTATGTAACTAATGTACGAGAACGGTATTTTAAGGTGTCATCTTTTATAACCTCATCAATTACCTCAATTTTGGTTAAGAGATCTTGCAGTTCCCCTGATTCATTCATTGACAAAATTTTCTCAGCACCCTGTAAAGAGACAAAATTTGTTAATGTAACGGCTGAGATATTAAGCTTTGTTGGAGTTTTTGTCTCGACAATTTTGCTGAAAGTTAGAAAACAGATGCTTTTTTAAAAGAAAAAGAAAAAAAAGAAATTTATTCAAAATATCATCATACTTTTTCAGCTGACCTATGTGTGCTTTGGCTGCTGAACACAGGATTATTACATATTGTATCTCATGTTAAGTTGTGGGTGAACATATCAGACGACACAGCGATTCTTCAACAGCTCTGGTTTATTCAGAGGCCAAAACAGAACTGAGCTGAAGGACTCAGTCAGCCTGCTTATATAGAGCTCCAGTACAACGTAACTGTAACAACTTTCTGTAACTAGCCAATCACTGAACGACACTTTCGATCCTTCATTTGCATAACTATCTACAGTATCCCCCTGCTAGCCCAGGGTGAGAACTTCAGTACATAACAGTATCTCATATATCTTGTACTACATGATCACTGCAATTCCCAGCCCCTCTTTTGCAATATATGCTTTCTTATAAATAAAAAACGGAAGGCACCTTGTTAATATGTCAAAGAGGCAATTTCTTATACATATAGTGCATCAGAGAATACACCTAAACGAGCATGAGAAAAGCAGTATTTCTACTGTTCAAGCATTTCCAGCTTGAATTCATCTGGAGCATGTTGTGGATATGATGCCAGGGGAAGAAAGATGATGAAAAATACCATTATGACATTAAAATCAAGATCCAGCCGTGAATAATAAAAATAATTTAGGTTGAGTACATAGGACCCTGGGGAATTTCTGAGCTCTGAAGCAAGGCAGCAATGAAGAGGTTCTTCATTTTTCTTCTTGAAAGTACAAAAGGTAACTGTAAAGAAAATTAAACTGCCAAAGAAGATATAAAACTTTCCTTTGGCTCTTTCTGCTAATCAGAGAGGACCTGTTGAGGAACTGAGCAACACTACCAGGGCATTTGTATTTAATGTGTGCGTTATTCAGGGGGTGGGGAGGGAGCGATTCTACTTGCATATACTGGTTGCTAGGTGCAAGGAGTGTACCCATATCTTGGGCCCTCCGATAAGGGGTCAATTTGATTGTTTGTTTATTAGATTTCTATACCAGCTTTCACCCAAATATCACAGGGCAGTTTACGATATAAAAACAAACAAAAATCCCAAAACGACAAATAATAACAACTCCCGCACCCTCGTTTAAAAGGCCGTAGATTGTTTAATTAGCCAAAGGCCTGGGAGAAGAGGAACGTTTTCGCCTGGCACTTAAAGATATGTAACGAAGGCGCCAGGCGAGCCTCCCTGGAGAGAGCATTCTACAACTGGGGAAGCCACCACAAAAAAGGCCTGTCCTTGTGTTGCCACCCTCTGGACCTCTTGTGGAAGGGGCACACGAAGAAGGGCCTCAAATGATGATCTCAGGGTCCGGGTTGGTTCATATGGGGAGAGGCGGTCCTTGAGATATTGCAGTCCTGAGCCGTTTAAGGCTTTATAGGTCAAAACCAGCACTTTTAATTGGGCATGGAAACTCATTGGCAGCCAGGGCAGGATTGGCGTTATATGCAAACAGTCTTGCCCTGGTGAGCAACCTGGCCACTGAATTCTGCACCAGCTGAAGTTTCTGAACTTTGTTCATAGGCAGTCCCACCTATAATGTGTTGCAGTCATCTAGCCTAGAGGGTAAAAGGTAAAGGTAAAGGTACCCCTGCCCGTACGGCCAGTCTTGACAGACTCTGGGGTTGTGCGCCCATCTCACTCAAGAGGCCGGGGGCCAGCGCTGTCCGGAGACACTTCCGGGTCACGTGGCCAGCGTGACAAAGCTGCATCTGGCGAGCCAGCACAGCACACGGAACGCCGTTTACCTTCCCGCTGGTAAGCAGTCCCTATTTATCTACTTGCACCCGGGGTGCTTTCGAACTGCTAGGTTGGCAGGCGCTGGGACCGAGTGACGGGAGCGCACCCCGCCACGGGGATTCGAACCACCGACCTTTCGATCGGCAAGCCCTAGGCGCTGAGGCTTTTACCCACAGCGCCACCCGCGTCCCTAGCCTAGAGGGTACCAGAGCATAGAAGTTAGTCTATGTCCAGATAAGGGTGCAGCTGGACCAACAGACAAAGTTGATGGGATGCCCTCCACACCACCGAGGCCACCTGAGCCTCAAGCAACAGCAAAGAATCCAGGAGGACCCCCAAGCTACGTACCTACTCCTTCAGAGGTAGTGTGATCGCATCAAGAGCAGGCAACCTCCCATCCATCTGCTCTAGAGAACCACCCACTAACAGTGCCTCAGTCTGATCTGGACTGAGCTTCCATTTGTTTACCAGACTGCTCCTTATCAAACAGCCTCCACAAGTTAACCGGGGTCCCTTTGAAGCCTCCTTAGGTATTGCTATAAATGTCAAAAAGAAAGAAATGTGATGCCCCCAAATTACAGAAAGCCAAAATATCCCTGTCGGAACGAAAACAAACCAAAGTTGGATAAACCCAAGTCGCTAGCCCTAGTCTGGACAGTCCCTAACTTACCAGTCTCTTTGCAGGACTCTTTTCTCATAGACAGGCATTTCCCTTGCAGCCTTCTTCACCAGCTCCCCAAATTTCTGTATATCACTTTGATATCCCCTTGATCTGCCCATCTCCCATCACCATTGCACATCAGCAATGGTGGATGCTTCACCCTTGGTGTTTAATGGGCCTTGGGGCACCTGTCAGGTCTCCAAGTTCACCTTATACTCCCCAAATGAATACATAGGAAAGATCTGCATCCCCTTGCAGATGCAGCAGATACATGTATACAGAAGCAGTCTAGGGACTCAGCTACATTAGTAAAAAAAACCCAGCATTTTGATTGTGTTATAAACATACAACACCAGATAGCGCTGGAGAGTAAAAGAAATTCTACGTGATTTTTCATAGCGCTGTTTTTCCCCCCTTTTGTTATAACGATTTAATTTTTGACTTATTTATCGTGGGTTTTTCCTGTGTGTAGATCCACCCTAGGACTGTAGTTCAGTTCTTTTGCACTGAGCTAGGGTACGCTATGTGAAATCAAGAGGTGCAGAGGGGTTCAGATCAAGTTCCATGGCTTCAGGTTTCTAACTGCTATAATCCAGAGAAACTGCCATTCTTCTGCTGCTGCCATTTTCAAGTTGTAAAGATCCTACAGAGACTAGGCCCACACAAACACGAAAAAAGCTTTATTGAAATTGAGAGTGTCTGAGAATGAGGCTGGGAACTTTTCTCTGAAAACAGTCTACTCCTTGGGATGGGATGAGATGAGATGAGATGAGATGGGATGGGATGGGAAGGGAAGGGAAGGGAACCCTGCTCTCCTTAACATCAGTTCTGTCTGCACCCAAGAGAGGCATCACCCCAATGCTTGAGAATTACTGCCCCACATGTGCATTTTGAACAAAGATGATGCATTTAGAAGTGCAGCAAATAACAGCAGCAGTGTTGATCATGCCTTTTCTATGTAGCTACATGAAGCCATGTGATTTAATACTTTTTAAACAATTTTAAATGTTTCCTTACCAGAACAAAAGAAAAGTACATTTCTCCAGAAGAAACAAAAAAATACAATACTACAAGCATTTCAGTGATGAAATTTATCTGGTACTCAAATGCCATCTGCTGCTTCCTTTCTGTGGTGTTCTTGGGAGACATTTAATATACGATAGATACCTCCTACACCAGAGATGGAGATCCTCTGACCCTTGGGCTCCTAATTTGGTTCATGAAACCCTTTACCTCAAACCATTCCCACCTGCGCAGTCAGCTGGTCAGTGGTGGCTACAAAGTCTGCTTCCTTTGCCTGCGCTGTTTGATTTCAAACTACATGGATAAAGGGAAATGCTTCATCTAGTGTCACTGTGACATCAAGTGATTGATGTCAGGTGACTGTGTGGTTTCAAGACACCTACTGGCTGGATCCAGTTTCCCACTCCTTTCCTATACCTTGGATCCCGAATGCCTTGGCACTCAGACGTTTTGTCTCCCGAACGCTGCAAACCCAGAAGTGAGCTTCCTGCAGCCAATCAGAAGCCACGCTTTGGTTTCCGAACGTTTTGGAAGTCAATCGGACTTCCGGAACAGATTCCTTTTGACTTCCAAGGTATGGCTATAATTTTATCAGCAGTTCTTATAAAGCTGGGGCCTTTAAAGTATAGTTACCAGACGTTCCCATTTCCCGGGGACAGTCCCCAGATTTACAAATCTGTCCCCAGACAAAATCCGTCCCCGGAATGTCCCCGGATTTATATTTAAGTATATAAATTTATTATATTTATTAGTAGGGGATGAATGTTGCGTGAGTGGTTCAACGGCACAAGACACATCATATGGGGACTTCTGGTGAGGCAAAATGGCGGGCGCCATGGCGGCGAGCAGCTCCTGAAGCCAACCTGAGCCAACTGCGCTACCAGGCTGGCTCCGGGCTGCTGAGACTGCTGCTGCCACTGCTAAGGGGAAACTGGGGACGCCCAGCACATCAACTGGGGGAACCCCTGACACACATACCCATGACCCAAATCGAGCAGGGAGCGACTGCCCAGCGGTGCTCCGGGGCCAGTAAAAACCCCAGAGCTGATGGAGGGAGAAGGAGGAGAGGAGAAGGAGAAGAAGAGTGAGAAAGAGGAAGGAGAAAAAAGAAGGGAGCTGCTGCCGCCGCTGAGGAGGAGAGGTAGAAGAGGGCAAGGACATGTGGCTGAGCCCAGGCCCGACCCGAGCGTCCTCCACAGCGGCTAGCGCTCCAAGAGAGCAGGCCGGGGCCCAGAGGAAGGCCGTGCGACAGAGGAGACCACAGAAGAGAAGATATTACTTCTTCATTTTTTAAAAAAAATATTTTTTTAAAATAACTTTTTTCTCTTTCTTTTTTTTAAAAAAGTGTCCCCAGATTCTTTGAAAAAAATCTGGTAACCATACGTTTAAGGTGATTGCTAGATTTACCACCGCTGTTTTATGCAAGCAGTGTGGTCAGCTGGTCGTGCCTGTTT